ACCTTTGTTATTATCCTCTTGAATATTTTTCTACATGTATTATGTGTTGTTTATAAAAGTGGAAATGGTTTGTTAATCTTTTTTTTTTTTTTTTCCGTACCGGGAGTAGTTTGTTATCCTGAGAAACCAGCAGTTTGATCGGTCCCCTGATCCTCGAGCTCTTTCCTACAGCCAGCTGCAGTATTAAAAGCTGGCTCTTGTATTTTTGAAGGGCAGTAGCTGAACTGTCACCTCCTGGCTTCCAGACRTTGTCCAAATCCAAATGCCTCTTTCGGGGTATCTCCCTGGGGATCCCTCTCCTGAGAGAGCTCTGCTCTTTGTTTACAGCTTTAATGTACAGAACACCAACCCTGGGCCTGTTCGGTCACACCGGGAGCCGATTTCACCCTTCGGATCCGAGCGCTTCACCGAGGTGAAGCCTGAGTTGCCTTATTTTTTACTTTAGCTCATTAGTACTCCAGATTTACTCCTAATTTTCACCCCASTTACTCAGAGGGGGAACACTTGTACCTTCCTAAAGACCAAGATCTCTAAGCAGAGTTGTTTTGATCCTGCATTTCCCAAAATCTGACCCACTCCAGTGGAAAGGCAATAGCRTTGTCTTGACTCACTGTGCCACCCCACAGGGAAAATCAGGGATGTAACAGCAATTAGCTTTTTTTTTTAATGAGCTTTTGTCTTAAAGCTCCTCACTTGGGGAAAATTTTTCATTGTCCAGTTAGTTACCCTCTCCAGTAATTTCATTTGGTTCATTAACTGTCCTGATATGTTATTTATGGGTTCTTTTCAGTGCAATAAACACTGCAGATAAAAACGTACATTTCTCGTAAATCCTATTCATTCAATAAAAATCATTTTGTTCAATGAACAACGGGTTGTGTGACTGATTTTTTTGGCATTTTAAACATCAAATAAACCCTTCTGACAAGCAGTGAAAGCCACATGGGCCTGAGATGATCAAAGCTCTTGGTGGCACCGAGCTCTGGGTCTGTCAGGGGGTAAATTACCCTCAAAACACCAACTCTGCAATCCCAAATCAAACCAAAATCAAAAAATCCCAGAGGAGACGCTCTTGCTTGGTTTGTAAATAACTTTTCCCTGTAAAACTTCTTAGGAACCAAAAGCAAACTTTAATAGTCCTGACAATAAAAGAATAGAACTGTACCACACATCCTATGCACTATCATGGATAAATATGTACAGAAATACAGTGAAACTTCCTCCAACACAGCTACAAAGTG